TTCCATGCCATGCCGCATTGAGGCAGTAATTGCTGCAAAAGGGGCCCAAACCAAGTACTGAGTACATATGCATGCTTATACTTTTCAGAGGTCCGATATTGTTCTATGTACAATCCTTGTTTTATTGATTGCATGTAATATTCTAATTTTCTGAGATTGTGGATTTGGGGTTTTCATGAGCTGTAAGCCATAATCATCAAAGTTATGACACATCACGGCTTGAACTATCTTGCTTTGCATGTAATGAGTCTATCTCATATATTAGGTTCACCTTTTAAGTTGCATTACTGAAATAAATGAACTTTTGCACGATATTCTAATTTTTCAAGTTTCACCTGTACATAAGGCAAAGGGCAGCAACTACTCTCATGCCAATAAACTGAATTGGCAATATATTCCTAGATGTATACTACCTATCCCATCCAGCTCTGCTCTTGAATAACTCTTTGAGAGCACAAACAAATCATAGGATGCAGTGATTTGAAGTTTTTGATTAAGGTGAAGAAATGAAAATGCTTGAATAAGAACATGTTTTTTAAAAGTCAAGTTTTATTAAATCTCATGAAGAACATGAGCTTGGCATGACAAAGAAGCTACATGGCTTCTTTAAAAATAAATAAAAACAGTAAGATGCCACTTGATGCCTTTATTTGAAAGAAGATCCCATCATGCAGCCCTGCCATTCATATAAAGTAAACATGCAAAGGACCAAACTTTATAGTTATGAAAGCTTGCTTTTCTATTTCCTTTCAAAATATTTGGAGTCCTTCAACTTTCCTTTAATAGAATCAGGTGGAAAGAGCTATTTATCCCATTCAGCCCAATCTATTAAATTATCTAAATTATTCTAAATTAAGCAACCCTGACAGATGACTGTTTTCTGCTGACTGAATACACCTTGTGTAGAGAAGAATCACCACCTTTCTGAGTTGTTGGCTCCATGGTCAAACTGCTCATATTGTTAAGAAATATTTCCTTTCAATCAAGATCTGCTCTCCTACAAAACTGGACTTAATACTCAAGCTGGGCTTCGATCAAGTCGAATAAACTGAACTGATTACATTCTATACACTGTACTTCTGTAAATGCACTTTAAAATTGCATCTTTTTGAGATATGTACACTATTATAATTCAATATGCAATCAGCTAGTATTTTAAGATCTTTTTCACAAATATGATTGTCAAGCACAATATTCCACATTACCTACCGGTACTTTATTTTTGGACTTAATGTCAGCCACTTAATATTTTTCTCTAATTTGAAAGGAATGCTTTTTGAGTATGAATATGATTTTCAAGCCAACTATGTATCTTCTTTGATTGACATCCACTCAATTCAGTGCTCAATTAGCTTGCTAATTAAGGAACTGCAGGTTCTTTTGTCAATCATTTTTGCTGATAAAGATACTGTATACCACTATTTATTAAATAAGTTTTCTTATTAAAAATATAGATACGGCTTCCGGTTGGATTGCGGCACCGATGGCAGCTTCCCTCCGAGGCTGCCTGCCCTGAGGACACGTTAGAGCCGGAGGAACAGCTGTTCCGCGGCTCAATCTCCCTCCCCGGGCAAAGGGGAGGGGGTGAGCTTCCCCGATAGGGGTAGAGCTCCTTAGCCTTCGCATTTTTCCAGCTGTGAGGGCTAGGTGAGCTCCCCCAGAGTCGGGGACTTCTCCGTGCTTCAGGCTCCTTTGTTCAATAGAACGAAGCCAGACGCGCATCTAATCTCTGCTGCTTTAGGAAACTAATGACTGTGAGTAGAATCTAATATGCAGACAGAGCCTAACAGGATTTTTTTGAAAACTGTTTGAAACGGGACTTTAACTCTGGAATCTTCTTTATATTTATTCTAATTTGAAGAAGAAGGAATATGGCTGCGGAAGGGTGTTTCT